CCCCCAAAACCCACAAAGACATGGACACTAAACAGCATGATGCTAAACAACTCCTGGGTCAATGAAATCAAAACAGAGATCAAAAGATACCTGGAAACAAATGAAAATGAAGAAACATATTACCACAATCTCTGGAACGCCATGAAAGCTGTAGTAAGAGGGGAATTTTATCCCTACAAATGCACATGAAGAAAATGGAAGGATCACAAATTAACAGCCTAACAAGCCACCTAAGGAAGCTGGAAAAGCAAGACCACCAAAACCCTAATTTTAGCAGAATAATCCAGATCACCAAAATAAAAGCCCAAATCCAGGACATAGAAGACAAAAAGACAATACAAAAAATCAATGAAACAAAAAGCTGGTTCTTCAAAAGGATAAACAAGATTGATGGTCCCCTAGCTAGACTGACCAAGAAAAGAGAGAAAAATCCCAAATAAGCGCAATCAGAAACATAAAAGATGAAGTCACATCTGACCCTGAAGAAATACAAAAGATCATTAGAGACTACTATGTACACTTGTATGGAAACAGACTTGAAAACCTCAAGGAAATGGAGGACTTTCTGTCATCACACAATCTGCCTAGGTTGAAACAAGAAGAAATTGAGATACTAAATATACCAATAACAATTAAGGAAATTGACTACATAATAAGAAAACTACCTACAAAAAAAAAAAAAAGCCCTGTACCAGATGGCTTTCCAGCAGAATTCTACAGGATATTTAAGGAGGAGCTGATTCCAGTCCTACTGAAGGTATTTCAGGCGATTGAGAAAGATGGAACTCTCCTCAAATCAGTTTATGAAGCTAACATCACATTGATACTCAAGCCAGGTAAAGACCCAACAAAGAAAGAGAACTACAGGCCAATGTCTTTGATGAACATAGATGCTAAAATTCTCAACAAGATCGTAGCAAACCAGATTCAACAACACATCTCAAAAATCACCCATCATGACCAAGTAGGCTTCATCCCTGGGATGCAAGCCTGGTTCAACATTTGTAAAACCATAAATGTAATTAAATACATCAACAGATGTCAAAACAAAAACCACATGATTATATTATTAGATGCAGAAAAAGCTTTTGATAAATCCAGCACCCCATCTTGATAAAAACCCTCGAACATGTAGGCATACCGGGAACATACCTCAAAATAGTAAAAGCCATCAACGAGAAACCCACAGCCAGCATACTCCTAAATGGACAAAAATTGGAACCATTTCCCCTGAAAACTGGAACAAGACGAGGATGCCCACTCTCACCCCTCCTGTTCAATATAGTTTTGGATGTCCTGGCTAGAACAATTAGAGAAGAGAAGGCAATCAACAGTATCCAAATAGAAAAAGAGGAAGTCAAGTTATCTCTATTTGCAGATGGCATGATTGTGTCCCTTGAAAACCCAAGAGAATCTGTCAAAAACCTCCTTACACTGATAAAGGCCTTTGGCAAATTCTCAGGATATAAAATAATGTGCAAAAGACAATTGCATTTCTTTACACCAATAATAAACAAATAGAAACCCAAATAAAAAGCCCAATTCCATTCAAAATAGCCACACAAAAAATGAAATACCTTGGCATCTTCTTACCTACAGACATGTAAGACCTTTACAATGAAAACTACAAAACTCTGCTCAGAGAAATCAAAGATGACACAAACAAGTGGAAAATTATACTATGCTCATGGGTTAGAAGAATCAACATTGTGAAGATGTCCATCTTACCTAAGGCAATCTACGGATTCAATGCAATACCCATCAAATCACCAGCAACATTCTTCTCAGACCTAGAAAAAACAACACAGGAATTCATATGGAAACACAAACTTCCAAGAATAGCCAGAACAATCCTCAACAACAACAACAACAAAAAACAAAGGAGGCAGTATAACATTGCCAGACTTCAAACTTTACTATAAAACTACAATCATCAAAACAGCTTGGTACTGGTATAGGAACAGGCATATAGATCAATGGAATAGAATTGAGATTCCAGAAGTGATACTTCAATTTCTCAACCAACTCATCTTCAGCCAAGCCTCCACCACCTACTACTGGGGAGAGGAGAACCTATTCAGTAAATGGTGCTGGGAAAACTGGCTGACCACATGCAGAAGATTGAAACAGGACCCCTATCTATCCCCATAAGCAAAAATTAACTCCAAATGGATCAGAGACCTAAATGTAAAACCTCAAACCATAAGAACCTTAGAAAATGAAGGACATACCCTCATGGAAATTGGAACTGGCATCCAATTCCTGAAACCCACAGGCCATAAGAGATAAGATAGACAAGTGGGACCTCATTAAACTAACAAGCTTCTGCAAAGCCAAAGAAACCATCAAGAGAGCAGGGAGACAGCCTACAGACTGGCAAAAAGTATTTGCCAACTCCAGGTCTGACAAAGGCTTAACATCTTGGATCTACAAGGAACTCAAATGGGCTGAAAAGAAAAATACAAACAACCCCATTATAAAATTGGCAAAAGATATGAACAGACATTTCACAAAGGAAGACATCCAAGCAGCCAACAGACACATGAAGAAATGTTCAGCCTCACTAATCATCAGGGGGATGCAAATCAAAACCACACTGAGATACTACCTAACTCCTGTGAGAATGGGAATTACCAATAACTCAAAAAATAACAGTTGCTGGAGAGGGTGTGGCGAAAAGGGAACACTTCTACACTGTTGGTGGGAGTATAAACTAGTGCAACCTCTTTGGAAAGCAGTATGGCGATTCCTAAAAGCTCTAAATATCAACCACCCATATGACCCTGTAATCCCCCTCCTGGGAATATACCCTGAAGAACTCAAATCACTCTATCAAAAAGATACCTGCACACGAATGTTTATCGCGGCATTGTTCACAATAGCAAGAACATGGAACCAACCATGCTCTCTATCAAAGAGGACTGGATTAAAAACTGTGGTACATATACATGATGGAATACTATGCAGCCATAAAAAAGAACAAAATCATGAATTTCGCAGCAGCCTGTATGGAACTAGAGTCTATAATACTGAGTGACCACTCACAGAAACAAAGATCTGAGTATAACATGTTCTCACTCATATAGTGGACCTTGATCATCCAATGCACTACCATAAGAAAATGACTGACAGTTGTGGGGAACTATGGGGGTGGGGGAAGGGAGATGGGATTAATGGTAGTAAATATCTGTCTGGGGACGGGGAGACATCTCTTATCAACAAGGGTACCTGAACGAAGCATATTTGTATACCTAACCCTTAACTGTACCCCACAATATCATAATAAAAAATATTGCTTATAAAAAAAAAAAAAAAATTCAGTGTGTTCAGCACTTAACACAGAAAAGCAAAGAAAAATAGCTTTAGGTTACTTGAATGACCTTAGCTCCCCTCTGTAGAGTTGAATAACAGTCTCACTATGCTTTATTTTTATTGTACTGTTTCATTTTTCTTTCTTTCTTTCTTTTACTAGAAATCATGGTTTTTCCTCTACTTAAGCACACATTTTTTTCCCCACCTATGTGTTTCTCAGTTAATGCCCTATTGGAAGGTAGCAAGTATTGAATTGACTATTCTGGTACAATAAGGTGAGGAGATACTTTAAATTAGAGCATAAGTATATTGTAAGTGTTATTATAATTTTTATTTTCATGTTAAGTAATTATAAACATTTCATATTAAAGTCAATAAAGCTTTTTTATGAATACATGTTTTGTAAGGAAAATATAAGAATTATTTTGACTCTTCATTTGATATAGAATGGAAACCGCTCTAGTAATGGGATTGTGAGCTAAAAGGATACTGAAAACAGTGCACTGGAATCTGGGAGTAGGTTTAACTACAAATGGTACATAAGGATTGTTTGACCTTTGACACTGTGAAGTGTTTAGGGAGATGGACCATAATCTATACAACTTTACTTGAATATGATGTCCCCTCTCCCTCCATAATATATAATATATACACTGTATTTTCTCTCTCTGTGTGTGTGTGTGTGTGTGTGTGTGTGTGTCTGTACTCAAGTTGTTGTGAACATAATGAAAGTTTGAAAGAACATCTAAACTAGTTACACTGTTAGCAAGGTAATAGCTATAAATACATACCCCTCACTAATCTGCTACCTAGGCACCAATGAACAACTGGGAAAGGGAAAAAAAAAAAACACTTAAAACTAACATGATCTTTTCTTAAGAACAGGTGCCAAACATAACATGACTATTTACTTTATCTTACGAAAGTAGCATGCTTATAAAGAGAGGAAAAATGGAAAGCTAAAATAAAAAGTAAAATGTTTATTTTAATACAAGAAAAGTTTTGAAGTTTAAGACTTCAGCTTCCTTTAGTATGACTTTCTATTTCAGCTAAAACTGCACTATTCATCATAATAACAGGATCACTTACTTGCTTCAGTGTGTAATAAGTGGTAAACTCAAATTTATATGAATTTTCTTCCACTAACCTTTTCTTAGGTCTTTAGTGGCTTTGTCATTAATACTGTCCATGCTCCTCTTCAAACCTGCTCCAATTTATATCCTTGATGAGGTAGATGCAGCCTTGGATCTTTCTCATACCCAGAATATTGGACAGATGCTGCGTACTCATTTCACACATTCTCAGGTAAGAACAGACAAAAATGTCTCAGTAATAGTTTAGAGTATTTGTTTTTCTAAAACTGTTCTTTAGTAGTAGTCCATGTTAATAAGATATTTAGGATTGAAAAATACTAAAGTCTTTATGTTTGAGAAAGAAATTTATGTTCAGGTGGGTATAAGGGTTCAGTCCTCTCTTTAAAAAAGAGCCAGGCGTTAAAAATGTTGGTTGTTCCAACTACTTGGAAGGCTGAGGCGGAAGGATCGCCAGAGCCCAGCAGGTCAAGGCTGCGGTGGCTGGGAGTGGCCACTGCACTCCAGTCTGGGCAACGGAGTAAGACTCCAACTCAAGAAAAATAAAAAATAAAAAAGTTGGTTGTAGCATGAGGGTTAATTCAATTTTGTCATAATTTAGAATTGATTTGGGGTTAACATAATTTTTTTCTCCAGTTAGCTGCCATAAATGTGCACAATCAAAACTGTTTCAGGGATATAGCTCAGGTATCAGAAAATCATGGGGCACTTGATGGGGAACTTTCATTTCTCTTGGCTAAAAAGGAGAGAACAGCCTCTTGAAACTAAGAACAGTTTGTTTTATTGTACTATTACTATAGGAACTGGGGCTGCCAAATATGGGTGCATATATTTTGCATTGTGCAATTCTGGGAGCTCTATTCATCACAGTTACTATAGGTAGTATATTTATTATAGCAGGTTTTTTTTTGCAGATTATCATTGCAGTGATACCTTTTTAAATTATCCATACATTTCATTTGGACTAGTGGTGAGCTGCAGGAACTTGAAATTTTCTTTGATGTCATTAACACATTCACAGTCGGCAAATTTTACACTTTCCTGATATTGATTGCAGGTGAAAATAAAAAAAATGTGAAGCAGCTTGCTGCAAACTTCAGTCATTAAGCACAAGTGAAATGTTGTTTCTAAATTATCACCTTTTTTACAGTGCAATTGAAAGTTGCAGACGTATCCAATATTTGGCTCAGACATCACTCTGACTACATTCCATACTTTGTATTTTATTCAAATTATAAACCAAATATATATTATTCAGAAACAGAATTTGCAAAGATGTAAATTCACTCAGCAGCAACCAGGAACAGAATTTGGAATGATACAATTTCGCATCAGTGATTGTGAATGAGTTAAAATAGCACAAGGTAAAATATTTTACTACAGCAGTTAGAGCTAGCAACAAAACAGTGAATGCCAGCTACAGAAGTTAGCAGCAAGCAGTAAACTATCAGAAAATAGTAAACTTAAGTAATAAAACACTCAAGGTAAAATTAAGAAACTTTTACAATGCAATATAGAAAGCTAGCGTTCATTTAGGTGCCTAATATCATAACTGTTTAAATAAATAAAATAAAAGTGATCTCCAAACAAGTTTTATCCTCAGTCTAAAAGGGTAAACTTCTTTAAGAATGTTACAGAAAGTTTTTAATGCTTTTTTTTCTTTTTCCCTTAAGTTCATTGTGGTGTCCCTAAAAGAAGGTATGTTCAACAATGCAAATGTTCTTTTCAAAACCAAGTTTGTGGATGGTGTTTCTACAGTGGCTAGATTTACTCAATGTCAAAATGGAAAGATTCCAAAGGAAACAAAATCCAAGGCAAAAGGGCCGAAAGGAACGCATATGGAAGTTTAAACTACTAATTTATTCCTTCACCTTGACCTGACCTGTTTTATAAGCATAAACTTTTAAGAACTTGGAATGTCTAATTTGTTTATATGAAAAAAATTAATGTTATTTTGTTACTTAACCCATACTTTCTCATCCTTTATATAATCATTTATAAATGAGCTTAGATTCCTCATCTCTAAGTGTAATTATGGTCCAATTATTGTGGTTGTGATTTTATGCATATCATCAGTGTTTTTTCTTATGGAAGTCTTTTATATATTAGGGATCCTGAGATACCTGGTTGATGGTAAATTCTGTAAAAAAGCAAAAATACAAAGAAACAGATAAAATTACATTATAGGATATATGTATCTGATAGCCGGCATTTAATTAGCTTAATTCCTAAGGTAATATTAATGTGTCTTTTATTGCTAGTAAAGTGATTCATGTAAGGAAAAATTATAAAACATTTTTCCATTGGACCAACTAAGAGAACACATAGAAAGCTATTATTCATGCATTGTGCTGGTTCTTTGAGGATACAACTCCAAATCTCTGATTTAGACTAGATAGGAAACAGATCTTGACAAACTTCTCATTTTAATGATACTTGAATATCATGTTTCTGTATTCTTAATGATTGGTCTCTGCAACCTTTAATTTTTTAAGCTTTATGAGTATTTTAATAGAAACTGAGGAGGAAGTGTATAGAATGGTGCTCTCTGCTGCAAGTGTTTCTGAAGTCTCCTAATATTTGCAGACTTTTGTCAGCCTTTTATTAATCCAGTCAATAACAGCTGATTGGTGGGTGAGAATGTAGAAGCCAGCAGACTAAATCAAATGTATTTTTTCAAAGTTTGCTAAACATACAAATAAATAGATCCTTCTTTTCTATCAAAATAACTTAAAAGTTTGATGATGATTATAATTATTTATGTCTTCTACTTTTCAGTTGAAGGAATGAGATTCTTTCATAACTTGAGAGATGGCACTGATAGACACCATAAGAATACTGTCTGTAGTTCTTAGTGTCTCTAGGTGCATCACCAGGACAGTGTCTCCAGACTGCATTCTAAAAGCATGATCTCATCTGATCTATGTGTTATTTTGACCCTACATCACTTCTTGATATTTGAGCCTCAGTTTCTTAGTGTTATTGTCATACTTTCCATGATATATAGTTGTACATCCTGGCCCTGGGTTTGGCATTTCTTATCCTTCATACGTATCTGAGATGTCAGAAAATATCTTGATATTATAGAATACATTGGAAAGGATTGAATCTGGAATTAGTTCTGTCTACTACGGGAGAGGAGAAAATGCTGTAAATGCTTAGTTACACCAGGTCCAGTATCACAGATAATAGACATATGTTTTTTGTTTCCTTTCAGATGTATTGCAAACTGTTTGCTAAAATTTACACTGTCACCAATAAAGTATAACATAGTATCAGACTAGTCAGTACTGGCTGATAATTTTAATATTTCTGGAATAAAAAATGGTACTTTATTGCTGTTTTAGCATTTTTAAAATAATTTGGGAGGTTGAATATTTTGGATTATGTACTAATTTCTTCTCCTACAAATTTTCTGCTTGTATGCTTTACCAATTTTTGTCTTACATATAATCTTGCTCTTTGAAAATCCTTAAACATATTAAACTTTTGTGAGTAATGTTGTTTTTTCTTTTTATTTAGAGGGAAGACATTAAGGGGACTGGAGACATTTATTTCACACATCTACAGTAGAATGAGTTAACTAATATTTATCAAGCTCTTTTTGTATATCAGACACAGTTCATACTTGTAGGATAATTAATACTTACTTGCATGAGCATTAAATGTTAGTATTTTTATATTTAATCCTCAAAGTAAGTATTTACCAGTAAGGTAAATATTGTTGTTATCAGCATTATGTAACTGAGGAAACTGAATTGAACAGAGAAGTTAGGAAACTTTTCCTGGGGTGATAAGACAGTTGGTAGCAGAGTCCATATACAAATTTTGGCAGTTGGTCTCCACAACCTATGATATACTACCTCACTGTCAGCTTGAACATTTGTATTTATTGTACAAAATAAATTTAAGAAATATGCCTTTATGAGCAGTGTGTACAACATGTGAATATTTTCTTCAAGAAGAACCTCAACCATTTGAAGATTAATTGTGGTGGTGGTTTTGACATTTTCAAGTAAGCTAATAGCTAATGCAAAGCAAAGACTTGAAATTTTCTCTTCCAATATGGTGATGTAACATAACAGACCCTTCTATAGTTCTCCTTTCTGAGATGTCTCCAAATGTTTGATCTTTGACCTAAGTACTAGTTATAGTTATGGTGCAGCTATAGGACAGCTAAGACTGCAATAGAATGCCCATGGTCTTTCTGGCATGAAGAACCAAAGGATGAGGTCTGGGATAACCACAGGTTCCAGAAAGTGAGGGAAAAATCTCAGAACTATAGAAGGGTATTCCAAGATTTGGTAGATGATCTCATCCTGAGTAATTGGTCCCTGGACTATGCAAATACAAAACATGTCAAAGATAAACAAAGCTGGATATCAGTTAAAATAGCAAGGACAGATTTTAGTCAGTAATATACTGTTGCAATTAAGTTGAGTTCAAAGTGAACTGAACTTTGATTCATATTGATGTGGCTGGGTGTTTTAAAGGAGAATGAACCTAGGGCCATACCACACTGAATATGCCTGATCTCATGTAAAGGAGAATGAATTAATAGGGAAGAGAGTGTGGGGGCTCAGAGTCAGGGAAGTAAACAGGAAAGGGAGGTTGGTTGATGTGAATGCCATCCGGGTTTGATAAGTGGCTCTTATCCTCCCACAGAGACTGGGACACAGGGACTCTTTTTAGGTGTTGGCTGGAAGAAACAATACTTCTAGCAACCTTGAGTTTTCTCAGGCAGCACTTTAAGGGGGATTAGAGTCATCCTATGGATGTGTTCTCAAGCTGTTAGTGTTTTCTTCAAATCTTTACAGGCAAAGGTTTAGGCCTACTAGAGAAAGGTTCGGAGCCTGGATAGAATTGGGGTAAAGAGAATCTTGGTGAAATAGATAAGTAGTTTGCAGTTTAACTTAAAAAAACTGATTTGAACTACCACTTGTAGGACAGTAGTTCAGGTGGCCTTGGACCAACCTATTTCTTACCCCTGTTTCTCACTTATAGTTCTCAAAAAGGACTCCAGAATGTGCTGGAAATTAATATCTTGAGATTGAGCAGGGACTAACAGGAATAGCTGGAATCCCAAGCGATCAGTAGGCTCCATGAACAAAGCTTACCAGAAGGTACCAAGTGACCCAAAGTGGATGTTTTAATTCCCTTGATTACCTGAAGCTTGAGAGGCAGATGTGTAGTGACAATGTGATATGGTTTACTGAAGGCTCTGCAAAACTAAAAGCAGATGAAGTCCTCTGCGTTGCAGCTGTCATCTAGCTAACAGATGGCCATCTTTTGGCTGAAACAGAACATGGGTATTCCACCTAATGGACCAAACCACATACAGTGGTGACAGAGTTGCCGGCCGTCCCACCACATCTTTCTACGTTTTCGCTGACTCAGGTTGTTGCCAAAATCTAGCCATCTGGTCAGGTGAATGACAACTAAAGTGACTAGACAGAAAAAATCTGTATTTTAACAGGGAATATGGTAACAGTTTGCTGCCTGGATCGTGACAAATATATGTCATCTGTGGATCCTAGGAATACCATAATCACCCTTTCGAGAAATTTAAGTCATGCTTTTGGAATACCCCATGAGACTTTACTCTGACCAAGGAATGTCCTTTACTGTCCAAGAAACATGATAGCAAGCACACTCTCATAGAATATGATGGATTTTTCCATGCACCATCCCCTGCAGGTCAATAGAGCTGTTAAAGGATGGAAAGCCAACTTTCACAAGTGAAAAAAAGATCTCAAGACATCCTACTAGTGAGTACATTTGAATAGGGCAGTATGAACACAAGAGAACTACACCAGTGCAGTATGTGTTAAGAAACACTGAAGTTGGTGGAGAGATAGGTGGACGTGATTAGGCTGTGCCAGCAAAATCCCAATCTCAACTTCTCAAGTAAGTATTTACCAGCAAGGTAAATATTGTTATCAGTATTATGTAACTGAGGAAACGGAATTGAACAGAGAAGGTAGGAAACTTTCTTGGGGTGATAAGACAGTAGCAGAGTCCATATGCAAATCTTGGCACTTGGTCTCCACAATCTATGATATACTACCTTACTGTCCACTTGAACATTTGTATTTATTGTACAAAATAAATTTAAGAAATATGCCTTTATGAGCAGCATGTACAACACATGAATATTATCTTCAAGAAGAACCTCAACCATTTGAAGATTCATTGTGGGGGTGGTTTTGGGATTTTCAAGTCAGCTGACAGCTAATGCAAAGCAAAAACTTGAAATCCTCTTCTAATATGGTGATGTAACATAACAAACTTCTATAGTTCTCCTTTCTGAGACATCTCCAAATGTTTTTGACTTTTGACCTAAGTACTCAACTTTTTTGTTTCTTTTTCTCCTTAGAGTGCACATTCTGTGGGTAGTTTGTGATTCAGGCTGCCACAGTACTCCAAACAGGACTCCCTAACTCTTATTTGGAGTAATACTTCCCTAAGGTGCACCCTCTCTGGGATCTCACATGGGTGGGGGATAGGGCTAAAGAATACAAGGCTGCTAGCATCCCTCTAGTGATGCCAAGATATCTGATGCTTCCATTTGGTGGGCAATGTTAACAGACATGCCATTGTTTGGGAAGTGACCTCCCTACCTCTACTGGATGACAAGCGGAAAGATCTGGGTCAAATAACAGGGGCCTGTAGAGGTAGAACCTCAGGAAATCATAATATTTATAGGGTACAATGTGATGTCTTGATATTTCTATACACTGTGAAATGATTACTACAATCAAGCTAGTTAGCACATCACCTCAAAGTTACCTTTTTTAGTGTGTTGAGAATATTTAAGGTCTAGCAAATTTTAAGTATATAATGAGGTATTAACTATAGTCACCATACTCTACAGTAGAGCTCCAGAACTTACTTATCATGCATAATTAATACTTTATATTCTGTTATAAACATCTCTCCATTTCCCCTGCCCCTGAACTCTTGGCAACCACCATTCTACTCTCTGGTTCTGAGTTAGACTTTTTTAGATTCCACAAGATGAGAGATTAAGGAGTATTTGTCTGTCTGTGGCCTCTTTTATTTCCCTTGTCATTATGTCTTCTAGGTTCATATATGTTACAAATGACAGGATTTCCTTATTTTTAAGGCTGAATAATAGTCCTCTGTGTGTGTGTGTGTGTGTGTGTGTGTGTGTGTAATAATTAGTAACTGCTATAAACAT